GTGATTAAAAAGTAACATTTCGTTATTCGATGGAGGAAAGTAACGTCTTAGATATGTTATTATAGATGTGGCTTTGAAACTAAACTGATTTCTTTCTTTCATTGCATTGTCTATAAATGTTCATTAGATAGTCTCTTTATACCAGTGATTCAATTTCAAGATTCAAAATTCACATTTAAATTCAAATAATCTGTGTATAACCTAACGAAATGGTACTCCTGATGAAGCACCAAAAATAAAATGTTACAACTTATTAAATATATTTAATACAGTTTGTGGTGTTCTGAAAAGTCCAACAATAACACTTACCCTATACACTTCCATGCAGAACAGAAGAATTCAATTTCTATTATAATTATCATTATCCATATGAATTATGGAATCAAATAATTTGTGTATAACCTAACGAAATGGTACTCCTGAAGAAGCACAGAAAATAAAATGTTACAACTTACTAACTATTTCTAATACAGTTTGTGGTGCTCTGGAAAGTCCAACAGTTTCATCGAAAATTCCATGCAGAACAGAAGAATTCAATTTCTATTATAATTATCCTTATCCATATGAATTATGGGATCAACGCCTCGCAAGGGAGGCATACCAAGACTCGTAGTCGGTCAAAATAGTAAAAAGAATTCGACGATGGGATATTAATCGAATCGCCCCGGTTGCAAAAAGCACAGAGTGCCAAAAATCACAGTTCGACGACCGGGATCGATTTTTCCCGGAAGGTGGGAAGCCCCATTAACTTTCGATTCGTCGTTTTTTCGGAAGCCGTCGACTTACGGGGTCGCTGGAAGCTGTTTCACGCAAATCGATTTGAGAACCGCCGCTTTAAAGCCCCACTTATCGAACGCCTAGTTGGTATGATAATGTAATAAAATAAATGGAGGTTGCTGTTTCCGAGCGATATAGACTCTCTCCCTCTCTGTCTCGTTCCCTGTCCTCCCCCGTTTCGTTCGTCGAGAGCCACCCTCTTTCAGCCTCTTTCCTCGTCGCACCGCGACGCTTTCTCATCCTCGTTCCGTCCGATCGTCGTGTCCTGGATGGTCCTGGACTCCTCGCTCGGTTTCATTTCAGCCAGTCCTCTCACCCTGCGCCCCACCGGGTCGCAGGGGGTTGAAACGGGAATCGAGAAGGTAGAAGGGAATGGAGCTCACCTCGAAAGCGAAATACAACAAGTCCCGCCGCCATTGCTGGGTCACCCTTCAACGGGAGTTTTGTCGTTGCGTGGGTGGGGGTTTGACAGCCCTGTGCGACGAGTCACCCCCTTTCGACCCTGCCTGGGTTCACCGAATGGGTGGGGGATCCGGAGGAAGACAGACGGAGAGACGGCGAACGGGAAAGAGGAGGACGATCGAGACGGAGAGGGTTAACACTCTCGCGATGGTAGGAGGGGAAAAAGGATGAAAGGACGCGTCTTGCCGGTGCTCGACGGAGAAACGAGACGCGCCAAGGGGGTTTGGGGGCGCAGTTTATTTATAGGGAGAAAGCGAGTCGAAGGAGGAAAAAGAAAGCCGGATGAACAGTGACGCCGGAGAGGGGTTGGAGAGAGACAGGTAGGGAGCGAGGTCGAAAACTCCGCCCCTGCATCCGCAAAAGCGAGTCAATACTATGACCACCCATCCTTGCTCCTCCGTGTGCCCTCTCGGTAACCCGCGCCGCCATCCCCAACCCCTTTTCTGTCTTTGTGCCACGGGATATCGAAATTCGTTACGCGTCGTAGACGAGGATCCTCGACTCCGAAGGTTCCCTGGCGTCACGAAGCAAATGCGTATTTTCGGAGGACATCGAAATCGGATACGAACCGAACGGAATTTAATTCTGGAACTGATTTCGATCGCTGAGTATTTCTATGCGTCCTGTGGCTTTCCATCGAAACGATATTACAATATTATCTGTCTTTCTTTTTTTTTTTATTTCACTTTATTTGTGCAGCGACCGAGAAATCGTTTATGGAATCTGTACAAAAGTACTTTGACGCTTATAGTCGCTTTTCACGAATGGCGAGGGATACCTTCTCGTTGGTACCGTAATAGGATTCGGGGGTGTGAAATCATTCCTCGAGCAAAATGCAAATTTGTCTTTCTTATGGAGAGTCGCCATAATTATAGAGAACAAGTTTAAGTGATAGTTGTACCTTTTTTTTCGTATGTAAATATAAGAAATACAAAGAACTACAGTTGTATGATATTATAATGCAAAATTTTTCGTTCTAGAATGTAATATTGGAGAATTTCCAAGTAGATACGTTTTTGAAAATTTCCGGCTCTTTGCATTTTTAGTAATTTTTATATTGTTTATACAATGTTAAACATTGAATAAACTACATTCTGAACGAATATTTTTGCAGCATACTGCAATTGCGCCTAAAACCACAAATAAATTCTATCAAAACACAAACAAAAATAAATTTAAAAGTTATTTATTTAAAAAGTTGTATCTTGAAGAGCATGAGATTTTTAATTCTTATTTGTTTATCGTATTGAAGATATAAACTAAATAAGCATGTAAGAATACACAAATTAAAATAAAATTTATTTAAACTTACGTAACATTATTTTAAATATATATACGTTCAGTGAGTATTTAAAATTCAAGGGAAACATGTTTAATTACAGTTGTCTCGTGTCTTGTACCAAAAACTAGGCGTAAAAAGACTTACAAACAAATTAATAAGTATGATTCTTTTTTATTGAGAAATAAACAGCAACTCTTTCCAAAAAGAACGTATTATTTCCAAAAGGTAGACACCTCTCCCAACTTTAGAAGCAAATTTTTATTTCCGTTTATAATCTGTATTGGTCAATGAAATCTGAACCAATAATTTTTAGGTGCCCCCTCCCCCCTCTCCCGCGCGATTGCATATGTACGCACTGGCGTGCACGAAAACCGCATAACCGAATAATACGAGGAGTCATTTTCAAAGAGCCACGACTCGAAGGAGCATTCCAATCGGAAAAGTATTAAGGGTGCCTCACCCCCATGCCGGGGCGTTTAACTCTCCGATTGCTTTGACAACTTAAGCAGGCCCTTAAACCTTGCTCGAACCTCGATGTAATTTATAAGCGACCGAGGGGTAATTCCGCTGGGGACCGTCAAACTGCCATGTGGCAAAACCCCCGAGGGAAAGTCAGGGATTATACGGTGATAAATAAATATGTACGTTTATGCAACAACCACCGTGACTCGGGGTAGCCTGTACGCGTCGGATGCTAACAGGCGAGCAGCAAGTCAAATTTCGATTCGGTAGGATTCCCCGCGAGTACCCCCCCCGTTAAATAAACAGAAATTAAAGCCGCTCAGGGGTTGCGGTGTCTGATCTTTGCCACGAGCTACCTCATCTTTGATCCATCAGAACGTTTAGAACTACTAAAGTATGTAGGAAAGACATTGATTTATATTTATTTTTAAGCGAGCATCCAAAGGAACAGCTGACCTTTATTTATTTCTTTTTAATTTATTAGATTTTATATTTAAACAAAACTTTGCTGTCAGACCAAACCCTTGAAATTGTCCACGATACCTAAAATTTGTAGACAACTGAAACTACGTATTTAACCCCTTACGATTTAATTCCAAATAATTTTTCAAACGTATAATATTTAATTTTGTTTCAATTTGTTCGTACAAGGAATGGGCACGAGAAAAATAGATTTGTTTTACGAATACCTCGTGAATGTAAAAATGTGTTGATTTTAATTTATAAGGCTTGATGACGAGTGAGTGACCTCGTAATTGTGAAATTTGACATTAAGAACTTGTGACGAGTCAGACACGTCATTGTATGGCAAGGGGTTAACAGTTGTGGTATACCACATATTGGTTTCGATGTATTCCGATATCAATTTTAAAACTTTTCCTGTCGCAAACGGGAGGGGAATTGATCTAACATTCGGCGATTCTTATGCATGTATACTTTTATTACAAGTAGTTACGTAATCGTTACAATATATGTATGTCACGTGACTCAGTACCTAGACTTTTACAGCAAATAGTATCACAACACGAAATATACAAGAAAAGCACAGACGAGTATTCTTTTTTACAGCTGTCATTAAAACTCATACCGATTACTCGTACATTTGAGAACCTTATTTCAGATAATTTCGTACCATGAACGAATACAAAAGAAAAAAGAACAGAAACGAGAGAAAAATTAAAGCATCCGTATTCCCTTTCCTCGAATCTGAAACAAGATTTCGTTCGATCCTCGTAGAAATCGTTTCGAGCGAAACCGAGAAACAAAACGACTTGGTCAACACGTCGAACCTAATGTTCGATAAACATTTGTATAATAAATAAATGTGTGTATATATATCTATATCCTTATGTCGCAACTGAGTATCTCCCGTTCAGTTTAGATACCGTTGAACTGTTAACTAAATACTGTAAGGTATCGTTCGTTACCTTTCTCGAAGTATCCATCGTTAGCCGATCCCGATCTAGCGGTAAAAAGAGATCACCAGCCGGGATCGTAAATTCATCGAAGGGTCATGCTTGGGGCTACGTCCTTAGGCCAAACCATTGGAACGATCGACCTCGATCGAACCGCCTCGATTAATTGGTCTGCACAATATTTTATTCGTTTCCTAATCTTTCGTTAGTTCTCGCAAGAGCGTTTCCATGCCTACGCTGTGCGCTCCATTTAATATACGCAGCTTCATTTGCAAAATGTCTTTTCTCTATGTACATCACGTTAAGGGTGTTACAAAGGAATCTCAATTAATTGTGCGACACGACTATCATCCTGACAAAATTTAACCGACGTCGAAGCAATTCGCTTCGAGATCCTCTAAAATCAGTTTCGTCTAAACGTAATCGAGTTAAATGCATCACAGAATCAGTTAAACATCTTATTAGAAATAATTCCCGACGTGACGGACCGTCGGCGACGTTTCACTCGTTCGTTAACTTGCAAATGTGTGGCACTGTACAAATATCCGGAAACTGTTCGACAGTATCTGTTTTCGATGGTCCCCGCGGCGTGGAAGCGTCTCTTAATTTTTGTACATGTCGCACAAAACTTTTTCCATCGGCGTGTTGCCGATCGTTCTGTGAAAGTATATCAGCTCCACCCTCGACGCTGGCACTGTCCTCAGCAACGGCAGCAACAGCAACAACCTGCCGAATCGGGCTGGACTGGCCGGTTGCTGTGCCCTGGCGTGTTGGCCCAGCATCACCTGCGCCTGATCTTGCAGATTTTCTATCTGGCTGGAATCTTTCAAGCCACGGGTTTCTGGAACAAAAATCCACGCTGCTGGTCTGGGGAAATCTTGCAATATTTGTAATATCGCGTGAAAAATGGCAACTTTTACAGAAAATAAACTACTCAGACCACTTCTGCAGCTACACCTCTACTACTTTTTGTTTTAATCTGAATTTTCCAACTTTACGAAGATCTTGACCAATCATTTTAATCTCTTCTTTATTGAGGACATGTTTAATTATAGGACTTACACTTCTGCCAACTTAATTTTTATTTTTTATTGAGGACGTGTCTAGATATTTGCAGAAGTGATATGATGGGGGCTGTAGAGTCTCATGGTTTGTTAAATTGGTCTTTGTTTGAGAAGGCTAGATGCTGGATTTTCAATTTATTAAAAAGTAGAAAGACTTAACACCAAATTGTCATAAGAATTTTCCATGGATGAAGTAGAAGCTTTGGAGCATGTGTTGAGGATTCAAGACTGTTTGCAAGTTCTCTGGAGACATCACGAGGAACTTCTTCTAATATATAAAGATACGAAAAATTGTTATGCAATTACATCTGAAGCAAAAACTTACAAGGAATTTGAATATAACCATAAGAAAAGTAAAGAGATAAGTGATTTCTTAACATTCTTATTAAGACTCAATAATTCGAGGGCTTAAAAATATATTTGCGTGGCCAAATTAATTTTATTCGCGAATAATAGTTACCAACCTGGTCGAAACAAGACAATGGCTTTCATGCAGGCGAACTCCGCAGGATCGACCATGATGGCCTTGTATCTCTGCAAGGTGTCGTGTAAATGCCTGACATCCGCTGCCACCTGGCTCGGTTTGCCCGTCGTTGTTTGCATGTGAATTCCAGAATGTGGATGTGGATGGGGATGGGGCGACAGAGTCAAAGCAGTCAGTTCCGCCGAATTAAAAAGAGGCGAGGATTCGAGCGGGAGGCACCACTGCACCGCGTTCAGAAGAAAAAGCTCTGACCAAGCTTCTTCGAGTAGTATCACCTAGTGCAAACAGGACCATTCAAGCTATAACGGTTTCTGGAATCTTGAAATTCTTGTAACCTTTTTATTTTCCTGACACTCCCCCTTTACAATTGTCGTATATAAAACATTTGGAGAATCTGGATATCTATGTGAGCTTGTAAACATGTGTTGACATAAATTAATTCATAGGGCACGACCTACACAATATAAACTCGTTTTTAATTAAATAATGAATCTTTAATACAGTATTATAGGCACATGTACAATCGATAGAAATTACTTAAGTTTCTTTGGGTATGTAACATCAAAGTAAATATTAAAATAAACGTAGTGAACAGCATAAATAATGATAGTTGATATATTTACTGGATAGAGGATGAAAAGTTCTTTAAAATAAGACTTGTTTCAAGTTGATCGTGTGATTAGTTTCTGAGATATAAGGGTTCAAAGTGTTTGTTTACTTTTCACTGTTTACATCGCGAGGTCATTGACCGTACGTGCACGTAGTAAATAGTAAATTCAGCACGATGCACGTTTGTGAGAGAGATCCAACGTATTAGACGGAGACGGAGGTAGTAAAATTAAAAAAATTACCCCTTCATTAAAACTACGATATCTACAAAACGGAAAGTCGGATCGACATAAACCAGAAACCATTTTAAAGAGGAAGTTTTTCCGCTTCTAACAGTGGCTCAATTATAGAAAAAAACTAGTGGTTTCGGAACTGTACATGTGTAAAGTTTAACTACTTTTAATACGCGTTATTGGACTGTTTATTAAATTATTACAACCTGTAAGTAAATTATTCAAATAATTTCGCTCGTAATAATTCTATTAAATGTTTTTAACGTTACTAACGATGATTATTTCATGAAATTTCGTTTTTTTCGTCTGTTATCCATTTGATAAAACTAACATGATTTCAATTAAGCTGGTTAAATGAGATTATTATGTATAAAGACAACTAAAGGTATCTGAATCTCGTAAGCAATATTAGATGCGAGGTTTCACTTTATAAGGGATTTAAAAGATCAAGAAATCGTGGATTATAGATACATGGCTGAAAGACGTGGATTGAGCTATTAACAAATTATTATTATTGCCATCATCGTTGAAGATCACGGTATCAATCGTTTTTTGTTTTTCGGATGACATCGCTTTCGCGGCCATTACGAGGCCTGTTCAGTTCTTTTTCTGTTATCATTTACTGGATATTCTATTGTCGTTACTTGGAAATAAACCTCATCAACGTTTACAAATTGAAAAAACCACGTTAAAATTAAATTCAAGGAAAATATACTTTATTATACCACTAAATTAAGAAGGGAAACAAATTCGACTGTACCATTAAATTAAACAAAGTATTCGAGCATATCACAAAACTTAAAGAAACATATTTGAGCATACTATTAAATTGAAGAAAATATATTTTAGTATACCATTCAATTTGAATAAAAAATTCAAAAAGTATTTAGGGATTTCAACTACTTTCTAAGTACCTGATCTCTGAAGGGCAGACTCGCGAAAGACGGAAGATTTTTCGCCCATTTGACAGCCATAAATAGGAGCCTCGCGCTGGTTTCGTAGACCGTTTCAGCGCTGGCTGGCGAATATAACGACGGGATCACAGGCGGAAGTTGCGTGCAACCGCTTCTTTGAGGCGTCAGTGGTTCCTCGTTAGTCACGTCTATGCTGTCCTCGGATGCGTTTCCTGTTATAAAAGATTTTTAAACGCGTCAGTACAACAAAAAAGAACGATTAATCATAAATTAAATGACAAAAATGAAACAATATTTAACGAAGAATGCAATCGTTACTAAAGAAGAATGTTTAAATTCTTGAGAACGAACGTGGAGAAAGTTAATTTTATTTCACTGGAAGTCAAGTTCTAGCATCATATTCGATAGAAATAATTGAAAATTATTCAATGAACCAATAAAAAAGAAAATGCAGATGTTGTATTGATAAATACCATCCTCGTTGTCTTGTCGAGGTGGTGTTGGAGGGTTCGCTGAATTTGTCGTGGGTGCAACGGTGGGTAAAGGCAATGGTGCCGTGTATCTTGCCATAGCCAGAGACACAGGTGGCCTGAAACATCATATTTTCCCGTACTTTATTCAGAATTTTAATCAAATATCTCCTTACCCTATCCTATTATGCAAATGTTTCGAGTTGTCCATGGTGGTTCCACAAAATTATACAAACTTGAGTCTCATCGTTACAATGTATTTTGTTCCGAGTATCGTGCCGATGGAACGCAAACATTTTACAGTTAAATAATTTAACTTGTTCCATTTACTCTGAATATGCATATAATTTGACAAATATACAATGATCTATGTGTTTGGATTAAAGTCGTTTAAAAATTATTTCCGCTGCTACCGAAGGTAAGAGAAAATTAATTATTAGAATGATTTAAATAATTTCAAAGCGTTCGTCTAAAAATAAAAGATCCCTAACATCTAAAGTCTTTGCAGAAGAAAAATGAGTTTACATTGAAACAGAAGACCGAATTAACAAACGAACGAGGCCTCTTTCCTACTCGTCTCGTCAACTATAAGAATCCAACGTTCTTACAATGTAGAATTTATGATCTAGAACGAATTTTAGTTCTCAAGAAAAATTAGTTCTTTTTCTCATAGCACGTAAAAAGCGACAGCTGTTCGTGTGACTATTTAAACGGAAACCATGCGAGTGGTAATACATTTGGAAAATACCGAAATAGGCGAATGCAAGCTTAAATATTAGTTTAATTGGGAATAAAAGAATTGATCGAGAATCCGAGATTTGTATGGAGCGCCACGAAAGTCACGAGCTTCGACGATCAACGCCAACTCGCGACAACTTTAACTCGTTCACACGCGAGTTTTGTTTACCTACTTTCAGCGTAGGCCGCGTAGAAATTTCGTTTTACCGATTTCGGGTAGGTAGGTGGTCGTAAATATACTATCGGGAACGAGAAACGAACACAGTTTGCACTGACCTGTTAATAGTTTTCTGCTAAAAATATTCGAAACCGAATTCTGTCAAGATTGTTGCAGATGACGGTGTATGATAAAATTGTGGTTAATGTACGAACGAGGCAGTAAAGACGAAGGTCTGTATATTGGAACGCAGACAGGTAAGATTTATTTACACGATATTTCCTTTAAATAAACATCGATTAAATTTCTAGACGATTTTTTACTCCGAAAATTTGGGCAATTTTTCACGCTCTGACAAAAGCTGTTCTTAATTTATTATCTCATTATAGTCACTACTGTCTGCGTCTTTGGTTGTACCTTTATTCGAAAATATACACGAATTTTAATAGTTATTATCCACGTACAAAATTGACTCGTTTATAATTTATTTCTTCTTACAATATTTTCGAATGATCTTAAATTAAAATACATTCGATTGAATTGGAAAACTATTTAGTATAGAATATGAAATACTTGTTCATAAATTATATTTTTTCGTGTTTAAAAATTAAGGATCTATTTGTTGACAGGGAGGAAATTTTTCGTAAAGTTTCTCAACTAAATTGAGAAATTAAATGATCTTAAATTTTGATAATCGTTGCTTAGATAATTTTTTTAAGAAGATCGAACTCATACACGAAAGACGAAAAATCATTTAAACGATTGTCTTATCAAGAAAATATTTTTATTTTAGCCTAAAGAAAAACAACTTGTTTCATATTTAACAGCCTAAATTAAATTCGATGACAGATGTTAAAATATTTTGCAGCGTTTGAATATTCCTAAAAAATTTCTAATTAATCATCCGATACATTTTATTTCTTCTAACAGTAAGTAATCGATTGCATTTCCTTTCACTACTCTTTTCTTTTATATTTTTTAGATCACACTTACACAGAAGAGGACCTAAAAAACTACACTCGAAGGGATCAAATACACAATTCTCTAAGATTACGTCCAAACTATTTTAACCTAATTTCTTTCACGTTTCAGCATTCGAGGGAACAAAACTTCCGAACCAAACCATCGTCCACCATGGGTAACCAGAAGGACCCGATCGTTCCATCGTCAAAGATGGAGATGGAGATCCCAAACGGCAGAAACTTCGCCAACTGTTACATGGAGCTGTGCAAGCAACAGCGACTTCGTCCCCTGCCGGTGATCTGCGTGGCTCTGCCCCACAACTTGGACTTCACCACCGACAGAGTGAAAATGGACGACTGGAATCCGATATTGAATTCCCTGTCCCTCGATCGTAGCTTGAAGTCGATCAGCGTTCGCAGTAGGTACCAGTGTCGCAAACCGTTGGAGGAAATAAATTCCGAGGACAAAGCCAGGACAATGGGCAAAGCACCCGTGGTGTTGTCCCGTTATCTCCTCGAGTGGTTATCGCACAGCGTCGCCCAGTGCGTCAGAAACTCTCCAGTTCTAACGAGTCTGGAACTGGAAGGCATACCGTTCCCTCCTGATTGCATGGCGGTGCTTTGCGTCGGTTTGTCGCATACTCAGACGCTTCATTACTTGTCCTTTCAACGCTGCTACATCGGGGACGATGCCTGCGAGCTGGTGTGTCGCACGGTAGCGGACGTACCAAGCGTCAGGTCGCTGAATCTCAGTTCCTGCGATCTGACGTCGAAATGCGGACCAGCCTTGGCAGCGGCGCTCTCCAGACAGAAACTGTTGCTCTACCACGACACTTGGAAGCAATCGTTGAGGTACCAGGAGCCAAACATCGAAGCTATGCCAGGATTGCGTCGTTTGACGTTGAACGAGAATCCTCAATTGGGCGACACGGTGGCGATAGAGCTGATCGAAGCGATAAGGGACAGCCTCTGGCTGAAGGCTCTGGACATGCAGCGTTGCGGGCTCTCCGACAAGATCGCCACCGATCTTCTGGAACTGTTGGACTACAACACCACGTTGATGGTTCTGGACGTCAGACAGAACGCGAATCTGAACGAGGAGCTGGTGAAGGAGTTGATCAAGAGGCTGGAACGCAATAACGTGGACGCCAAGTCCGAATACAGGTGGCTCGGTCTGCCCGAGCAGAATCGAAGGGTAGTTTCAGCAGGTGGTAAAAAGAGGACGGAGAACGAGAACAAAACGCTGGCTAGGCCGCGTAGCGCCGTGGCAGAGTTCGCTAAAAGACCTCATCAGGCTCCTTTGAGGAAAGGAGTCGCTCAGATGACCAATGCGGCAAGATTGAAAGCGAGACCTCACGTTCCACCGTATCCTCACGCGCGTCCTCAGCAACGACAGCAGGAGCAACATCAGTCCAAGCAGAAAATGTCCCTGCATCTCGACCTGCAGTCTCATATCCAGCCGGTGATGGGCGAGGGGACTGCAGACACTAAATGCAGTCGAACCTACGACGACAGTTTTCAGAGAGAAACCGACAGGACCTCGTCGAAGAACGCTGACTCTACGAAAGTGGACGCCACGACGCAAATAACGGATCTAGAGATCGATGATCCGGTCAGAACTCAGATAGTTTTGAGCCAATTGGCGGAGGCCAATGCGGAACACGATCGTCTCGTTGAGACGACCAGGCGCAGTAGTCTTTTACTGGCCGCTGAAAAAGGTCGTCGAGAAGAGGTCGAGGCGAAGTTGACCGCCATGAGGAACAATTTGACAGAATTGGAGACAGCTTTGAAAGAAAAGGAGCAGGAGACGAACGGTTTTCTGTTGCTCAGCCAGCAGTCTCTGGACGTGATTTGCAGTTCGTTCGATCGCCTTTTGGAGATGCTGGACAGTGTTACGAGGAATCCGTATACCAGCAGAAGGGAGATAACCGAGGCGGCCATTGTCCAGGCGGACATAAAGGAACGGGTCGCCTCCGTAATCCGGCAGACGAAGTCCGAGAATCTGAGCAGAGGATTTGTCGTGGACGTGGACGAGTACGATTCGATCAGGTACACGGAACCGATCAAAAAGTTCGCCAAGTCGGAGAGCGACGTCAGGTCGACGCTGCCGCCGATATCGACGATGCACTTGGAGAGGAATATCGGGGACAGTCCGGACGTTGATTCACCCGCGTTGGCCAACAGAATTCTACGCCACGAAGCGAACAAAGATTCGGTGTCCCCCAGAGAGCGCGCCAGGGCGCTGTTCGCCCAGATCGTTCACGGGGACTCTATGTTCGATTTTTGCAGCCACGTGGATTAAGAATCAGACGAGGTGAAATGGTTTTTTATAGACAAATATATACGCACACGCATAGAAAACACAAGTACTTGGGGCAGAACGTTTGGAACCAGAGATCTCGATTCCACGCGTACGCGTGAATATAATACACGCGTGTTTAGATTTGTGTAACTTTTTATATCCGAGTATTTCGATAAACGATTTAATATGTACTGTTGATCTATACGTATTTTACTTTGTGTGACTTTTTTGCGTAGAATAATGTTTCAAAATTTTTGAGTATAGTCGAAAGTAAAATATTGGTCAGTCGAATTATTTGAGAAGTCGTAAGTTGTGAATCGTGAAATGGCTAGTAATTATGAAGCTTTTGAATTTGAACGTTTGTTATTCTCTGTTGGAAAATAGACGTGCTTGTTTATTAGACATTGTTAATATCAGGCAACTTCGAATGTTTTCCCAAATTATTCGCCTACGTAAAAATTATGTGATTGAAAATTCGAGTATTTTATTTTACACAAAATAATTGCACAGAATAAAAAGTATTAATGGTACACGTGTTTTAAAAATTATGCGGATCTTGCAATTATGTGGAACGTGTATATAAAATACATGTTCAAAACCATGATCTCTAGTTGAAACAAGACTAGAATATTGAGAATATCCTCAAAATTCCAAGTTTGAGGGATCATTTGAAATTGCAGTGGGATTCAAACAATACCTTATTACGAAAATCTTTTAAATTGAGCATAGAAAAGGTTCCAGAAACATGAAGAGTTTGAATTTAATAACAAATAACTTTACCAAATCAACGTAAAAATTAACGTAACTGCAGAAATATTTTTGTTGTATCTTATTAAGTAATTATAAGATAAACATTAAAAAACGATTAGATTTGGGAATATCATTATCATTATAGTGTATAGTAACAATATGTAAGTTCCTTTGATCCTTGAAATTATTCCCACTTCAGCTCTTACTGTCTTAAATAATCACACAAGTAGAATAAACGTAGCGATGAATTGGGAAACAATGATACGAAAAGTACATAAAAGAAGCAATGTATGAAATAATGTATTGATCGAAAAAATTAACAAGAAGTATCAACTTGAAGCAAGATCGATAGACTTTTCTGTACGTGTCAGATTGTACCATAAATCGATGATTAATCATCGAATTGCGGTGAACCGATTCGTATCATCATATTTTTCTTACTTGCATTATATTGTAAATGCAATAAACCACTTTTATTCTTTTTAACATTGTTTCGTTCCTTCTTTTTCATCAGTAAAATATATGTTATTAATATCGTTTCCCATTGTGCTTCTAACAGTAAATTATCTCCAATGGAAACGCGAATAAACCCCCATTGAGCTTATCTAACAGAGACATTCATTCCAGACAATAGATCTGTAATAATCGAAGACGAAAGAACCGAAAACTGTTAATAACATTTGTGTTTCATCATCAATTACACAACAAAACAAATCTTATTCTAAGAGGTGAATCATTCGAAAAGGTAAGTTGAAGAAAGAGTCAAAAATGATAAATGGCTGAGAATGTTTCTTGAAATTTAATGCAAACTTACTATAATAAACCTTTTACTTTTTAACGCTGCATATGGCAATCGGTAATCTTTTTACTCGTTTTATTTAAACACAGAATTCAAATCTTGAAGGCATTCTGTATGCATCGATTTTATATTAATTTTAATAAATATATATAAATAACGCAAACGAAATTAATAACTAGCAGCTATCAAATCTCATATTATTTATTACAAATTTGTTATTATTTATCGTCAACTTAATCGAAGAAGAGATTATTGATCAGTGTTGCGGGGGTTAAATAAATATATTTCCGTTGCTAATTTATGTCAGATTTACTTTTATCGCAGACTTCAGCCTTAAGTTTTCCAAAAATATAAGCGCCAACATAAATACCGACGCGAACAACAATAAACTCGAAAACTGTAACGTGCATGGAACGCTCAGAGCAGAGTAATTTCCACAGAGCGTCGTTGGCACGCTCGCTGTCGCTTTTAACGTTCACCCCTTGGCGCTCTATGGATTTTCCATTAGTTCCAACCTGAGTGCCCAGTTACCTGAAAAACGGTCAGCTACGGGCTACTAGTCAAAGGTAATTTTTCATGATAGATCACGCTCGGCGTGGCGTGTCGCGAGCGCAACTTGCTCACGACGGCGAAAAGTATGCTGCTGTCCAGCAGAAGATCAAACGTGCCAACAACGTCGTCGGTTCTCTTGCTCTTGTCGTTGTTCCTGGTGAATCGGTGATTATCGATCGAGAGTCCTCGGCGTTACTTTTAATCCCCCGCCGCGAACTCCTTGGATCGTTCGGAATATTCAACGCGACTTACGCGTTGCCCAAACACACGCCCACGAGCGAAAATACTATCGAATGCACTGCTACCGGAAGTCGAGCTAGGCTCTTGGACGTCGATGGACGTTGCTTTGCTACCGTTGTAAATTTGGTAAACTCAGAGTTCCAAAATATTGTCGAGCCTCTACTGATTCTGAAGGAATAATCGCTTCCTTTTTGGTGTTTTTTTTTACAACACTGTAAAACCCCTCAGATTGTCCACGAAAACGGAACTTTGTTTTTAGATAATTGGAAACTACTCACATTTTTTCCATAAAATACGAGATTCCTATCTGGATTTATTTTCTTCGATATCTAATCTTGAAAGTTCATTTTTTTAGTTCCTCAGTGAAAAATTATGTCATGATTTTGATTCGAGTAACGTGTTTCTTACATCACATTAGAAATTTGACTAAAATTTTGTCGCAATTCTTGTCCTGTGGAAATAGTTCCAAAAGCTCGCGAGAATGCGTCGTCGATTCGTTCAAACATTTTTCGGTCACACGGACAATTTCAAGAGGGCGGAGAATCGATGAGAAACGAACGCAGTGACCGTTTTTTCGAATTGCTTTTGGCGAAAAAACAAATCGTAACGCTGTATCACTCGCCATCTATTCATACTATTCATAAAGATAAAGTCTAAAAAGATCTAAAGAGATCTAATGAGATCATTCGTTTGAAAAAAAGTTAATGCACTGTATTGCATTGAGTGGATTATAATTTGAGTAAACATGAAGAAGAAAAAACTGGTCTGGCTGTTACAACGTTCAAAAAGCAATGTATCTTTTGACAGAATTCAGTTTTCAAAAAGAACAAACGTATAAGATTTTCTTGAAAGTATTATTTTTAACTTTACCTCTTTTTCTAGATTAGATATAATAGATATTCTTGTTTATAACGTGTTCGTAGTAGAGGAAATTCAAAACTTGATTCGTGAAATTAATTGCGTTGAAAGAATTAGAAAGACATGGTAGAACTCACAGATCTATTTATCCAGAGAAATTAGGAACCTTGATAAAAGATTTTTAAATATTTACAGTCACTAATATTATAAAGTAGTTGTCAGAGTGATCGACAACTTGGCATAGCTACTTTTTTAATATTAAAAAGACAAGTTACACTTGACATCTGTTAACAATATTATTAATTTCTTTACTCTAGACTTCTGTTTCCAAGCATTGTTACAAACACCACAATCTATGTGTTATCTTGAGCGAAGAATAATTTTCTAACTCGTTACTAAACAAAATTATAAAGTTACACATCTAATATCGTCTGCTCTTTAATTTTATTTATTTCTCAGGCTCAAAACACAAATATAAACAGTCATTACAAATCTATGAATTTCAAGAGTCTGATTACTACATACCTTCTAATTAAAATAATTTTTTTAAATAGTAGGATATTAGTTCTACTTATTTAAACTAATAGAACGTAGAAAAGAATTTAACGTTTTCAAAAAATGTGTACAATCGACGTGTAATGTTGCAAACTCAGTATAGAGACGCGTGAAATGCATGGATGGTAAAAATTGAACGTTTTGAAATGCAAACTCACCCGAAAACACCGACAGCCACCGCAGCTTCCCGTAGAGCACGTTCCTGGTCCATCTCGACGAGAGCTTCCGGTCTGATGGTGGCAGTGTTCCTGGGTTGCCGTTCATTCTGCACGGCTGCAACAGAAGCACATATCTACGATGTAACGTCGATAACAGGCGTTAATTGCAGCCATGAATTAATTACACGCTGGTAAATTAACGCGAACCGCTCCCGTGCATCCGCCTCGCGCACGTGCTATTGTTATTCAGGGTAATGTCTTTCGGAATTTGTGCACGCGAACGCAGTAAATAACCCGACGCGATTAATTACATATCAATTTACGAAGATGGGAACGGGGAGGCTCGAAAGACTCGCTAAATTACTTTTCGTCAAACCATTTCGTATGTTTCCGTTTCGATAAACGAGAAATCGTACGAAACCTCTATTTTTAATATCATTGTTTCAAAAATTTAAGCTTCGTTGATCGCTCGTAGACACGTCGGAATTAAGTAATTAGGTCTCGTGTTCTTTGAGATCAATCGCAAAACAGAATTATTAACCCTTTGCACTCCACCCGCCCGATTCAAATTTCATTTGTGGTAACAAAAATTGAATTTACGAGACGCACACATTACGTATACATTTTCGTGGAAAATATTTATTTATTTTTAAAAATCATGTCACAAAGTTGCGTTTGGTATTGTCAGTTGTTCGCATTAATAACGCTCGGAGTACAAAGGGTTAAACAATCTTTTGTGGTCCATTTCGGTTCGACAGATAATTTAGAGAGGCAGTACTTTAGAAACAGCTGTAACGTTAATAATTCTCAGAATTCGGTAAGATGTGTCACTAAAGAGAACCTGTTCTAATTTGGGCAAGAACGTTCCAATGTTACGCAATAAGTCAATTTTGTCCCGTGGACGAGGAGTTTTGAGGGTCGAGAACGATTCTGGGGGAACAAAACGACCAGTCGGTCGAAACAATCGACGAAACCAGCTCCCGGCAACCGTTCACGGGACATTCTCCGATAATGCGTTCATTGCATAGAAAATCCATCCACTGGGGGGTTTCTTGGTTATAGAAATATTAGTGGAACGTCTTGGTTTGAAGAGTCTTGCCCGATTAATCGGGGAACAAACGACTGGGCCGGCCACCCTCTCGTCAAACTCACGTAACACGCCGTTATATCACGCCGCGCCGGGGCGGCCTGCAGCTGACAAGCGTGAATTTAACAGACGTGCAGGAATCAGCCGCGTTTATTGTTTGTATATATTGCCGTTCGGTAACTCCCGTTTGACTGACAGATATCCTCTACTGGAATAACCTTATACACTATGGACCTCGAGAACGTTTTTTCTTCTTCGTTTCCCTCCACTTTGGTGCAACACGCGTCCGTTTTAGACGGGCCGCTGGCTATATCGCCGTCTCCGATGGATATCAGAAACATTGATAATTAAGATCACGGATATTTATAGACGAATCGATGAGTCAGAATGTATTTAGAATGCTTGAAATAACGAGTTATCGAGAGCGTCGAGGGTACGAGGAAGCAAAGTCTTGGGCAAAATATTGTGACATGGACAGACGCGTCTGCTTGGTTCTCGGTCTTAAAATATTATTATGCAATCGATGTCCAAATTTATTCGTTTGATGAATCGAATAGATATTTTTGTTGAATACAGCGTTACGTATGGGGCGTAGAAAAATTGTCCTCACGACTGATACCAGGATCTTCGTTTTAATCATTGCGAACAAGTTGAAACGTGCAAATTTTTTAACTAGCTTTCTATAGAAAACATTCGATTTTTGTATAAAAGTAATTTGCTACAAAATTTTTGAAAAGACGATGAAGAGATACTTTATTTTTAAAGAGGGTGGTTTTCGTCCACGCTATTGTATCATTATATATTAAATATTATAATGATGTTGGTTATTACATAATAGTTGAAAAAGTCCTATGAGGTAAGAAGACGATAACGAAAACGTAGAAATGTTAGAATTAGTCTTTCAATTTTATTTAGAAGTATTATTGAATAATAATAAACGTGTAAAAATAATTTTCCAACTGCAGAAACGTATCTATAAAACAGAAATTTTATATGACATAAACAAAATTATATTGAACGAGTGCAAAAATTACTAAATGTTTAAGTTACTGTTTTTCATTTTTCAATTCCCATTAGTTTTTGTGAAATTTCACTAATTTCAGGGTAGTTTTCATCCCTTGAACATAAATATTTGTATTTAATATTTTTCCATACTCTATTATACAGATAGAATATCGGAAAAATATTGCATTCGATACATGCTTCCCTCCATTGGTTGATATTCATATTGAAGGGGTGAAAGCTATTTTGAAAGTTGTGGATGCATATCTGTTTAGTTTAATTTCTATGAAACGTAATATATTGTTACACAGAAAATAATTTCGAGTACAAAAAATAATAATCGACAACTTGCTTGTAAACAAATTTTATATACATATTTATAGCTTTTACAAATTATATAGCTTGTTGAGATATTAAATATAAAACATGTTTGTTGTTTAGTTAACACTAACACGTTTTAAATAATTCTACCAAAGCATAGGTGGCGCTAGTGTAGCTAATTAAACCTCTTCTTTATAAATGTTTCTTGTACAATAAAAGCACATATTATTCCGAATTTTGACATCTGTTTGAAAATAATGAAAAACATATTTTTAGCTGAAGCTTTAAATTGTCGCTTTCCTCCTGTTTTCTGTCAACAATAATTATCGAAAAATTTAACTATAGGTTCGAGTTTTCACACGTTGTTCATGGATATCAGTCGATAAAAGAAACACACGTATTTATCAGGTCGTCCCCTAAATTTGTGCCGTTTGATATTCTGAAATCGACAAGGATAAAATTTGTAATTTAAAAGAAAACAAACAAAATTTGTAAGTTCAGGGGATTTCTGAAATTTTAAACATACCAACATCCACAATTCATACAAATTTGAAACAGATAGATATTATGTCAAAGCCGGAAGTTTGGAATCTACATTGGCTTAACATTTTTGTTATAATAAAATCGAACCTTATAAAGAATAAAATACAACAATCTTCAAGCTTATTAGTGGCTAAACAATTTAAAAATGTCAACGTTTTAAGAGCAGAGTTGTACTATATTTTAATAGAAAATCAAAGAGTTTTGTAGCGACGATGCAATAGTTTTTCCAAAGGGTAGGGAGTTGTGGAACAAGAAGAGGTTTATTGTTTTTCATAAAATTCCATCATATATTCAAAATATTGCTTTAAGTTGTAGTATAAGACTAGGCACGAACATATGAGGCGATCCAATAATATTTTTTAATGTTCCATCCGAGTAGAAAATGGTCAAAAACGATCTTGGTTTCGTAGCTTTGGTCGTTGCTGTGCAATTCAAAAGTTACACGATTCCGCGGCGTGGACCAAAAACGATTAACAAAACTGGCCTCCAGAGCGTGTAATCTCAAAGCACCTTCGACTTTTCGGGGTTACACCGTGAAAACGGTTCGCGATTCGTCCACTTGCGCCCCCAAAGGACAGAACCGTGACGTCAGCCGCGCGTTAATGGCGCCGCGATTAGAGCACTCAGTGGTGTGTAACGGCGAGCAGAATTTTTTCCAGCTTCCCTTTTAGCCTGGCACGGGTGCACAGTAATTTCGTAATAATAAAAAGCGTGCCGGCTCGCTTTACCTCTGTCGTGCTGCCTGCTGAGCGGTTTAATAGGATCCTCCTACTTCGTCAAGCCTTTGGCGCCGCCGTCTCCCTTTCTCGAGCGCCGTTTCTTCCCTTCTTTCGCGTCTCTCGCTTCTTTTTTTCCCCCCGCCGCTCAGCCCCCGCAACCGGGAAAGATAAACGCCCTTTCTGCGTTACCCGGGAAAATATTCTTCTTCCCCGTGTTATGCGCGCTTTCCCTTTTGTCTTTTTAACTCTTCAGTCCGCTTATTTTCACACAGCTCGCGTCCCCCGCCCTGACCCTCTCCTCTCTTTTTTTATCTCGTCGCTTTGTGTTTCCTTTCTTTCACGCGTACCACGCAATTAACGCGACGTCGATATTAAGATTCTCCGGGGATACGCGTGCACTTTGCCGCCAACTCACCGGAACCGCTTGCTGCTTCTTTTAAAATTTTTATTATTTTTTTTTAACAAAAAGTATACAATGTGATGAAAATTGTTGAGATTTGTTGCGCTAGAACATAGGATAGAGTACAATTTTTTAGTTTGTATGCACTTTTGTCGTTTGTGACGGTGTCATCTAAAATAAAAAAAATGAAAAAACTTCCTTTTTATATTAATGACTCTCGCCTTATCTACTGTGAATTTAGTGAATCTATTAAATAGATGTTGGGATATTTAAATTGAAAAATTTCTCATTCTGATTCAGTGATGGACATTACGAGATTAACTTTTTTGTACCTATTTTTTCCTACCCTGAATCCACATTGTTTCTATTTTTATTAAATGTTTCCCTCTTTTCCGTATAGTTTTTGTTGTAAAATATAACGCACTGTATGAGATATAATAGTATATTTAAAAGAAACAATTACATGTGGTTACTTTGCGAGCTCGTTAACGACTGCCTAATATTCAGCGCAGATCGGCATCGCGGTGCTCGTGTACGCAGCGACGCCAATCGTTCGTCAATCGGTAATGTCGGTTACCGACCATCAGTTTTGCTATTTCCCTGCACGCTGTTGTTTCAACAATTTTCAATATTTTTCCCCCTTTGTAGCTCGATCACATACTACGATGCTATTTTTTTTACATCGAGCCAATAAAATTTAGACACCCAAAGGCATCAATTTATTTTTTCTCCATCGATGCTGAGGTTGAAAATCGAAAATAGCAAAATCAGAGTCAGACCACTGTGTAACAGCCTCATTAAGCGATGTCCAGATAACTGTTCCGCTCGCCGTTCAGTTAAACGAGCGTCCACCTTGTCGACAGTAGAGTTCCAGTGAATTCTCCCAAATAACAATCGTTAATTCTTTCCGTTCGATAGATAGAGACTTTTAGCCGAAACCCTTCCCGCCCTTTTCACGTATCCGTCGTCCAGTTTCGCACCAGGAGAGATAAACGCCCTTTTACAGATCGTTTCACTCTCATTTGCGTGAAGCTCACCGTGGG